TGGGACTCCGAGTTAAGGTCAAGGCCCATTAACAAAAAAACCCAGAATTTTACCAATATACGAAGCCATTTACCATTAAATAAAAAATGCAACATGCTATCTCCCAATAAACATAAAATAATTCCAATCCCAACTCTTAAATTCTATGTGCTGAAATCATCCTAATAATAAATCATCTTCCCACCTGGAATCAGATATTTTTCTGGTCAAGTTAAATAAACACATTTCCTTTCTAGAGGTCCTGAAGGCTTGCCTATAAGGTCATCCAAGGATAATGGGCATTTCCACTCTCATAATTATTCTTGTATTTTCTGGTTCGATCAGACATTGGACACTCTCTCCCTAAAAATAACAGCAGCCCTTAGCCGTGGCAGAGTTGAGTTTCAAAATGTCAGAACTTTGGCTGTTGGAGTACGAAATATATAGTGTCACAGGGAAAAAGTGCCTGTTTGGGTTTTCAGTCAGCTCATGGAACCCTGGAGCACTGCTACTGGTGCAATTCTGGTACGTTAGTGGTTGCCAGAGATTGCCCTGCACATGTTGGATTTAGTCTCTGTTTGCTCAGGCACTGGATGAAGTGAATTCTGCCTATCAGGTCTCTACCAGGGGTTCTTCAGAATGAGTTACACTATGCTCTCAGCCAGCGCCTACCTCCACCGAAACTGAGAACTCACACCTGCAAGACTTATCACGTTTTTTTTTTTTTTTCATGTATGGTATTAAGATCCTGTTATGGGATTTTTTTGTTTTTTAAATAATTGTTTTCTCTCTCAAATTATGCTTAATGTATCTTTGCTGTGATTATGAAACTTTTGTTGACAATAAACTACAAATGCACCTGGTATAATGACTTGAACAAAATGAATGCTAAATATTAAACAATACAGATACATTATGTATAATATGTCTAAATAATGTAATCCATATGGCATCACTGATTTTGGATAAGTTCCTTGCAAAGATGAATGAATCATAAGACTATTTGCTGCTTATTAACTTGTTCTTGGCTTTAGTATATAGGGCAAACATTTCTGTTAAGTAATACATTGTTTCTTGGTGAAAACTTTAATAATCCAAAAGATTGAGAAGATAATTGGGTTGAACTTCTATTAAATAAGTACAAAACTCATGTATGATATTTGTTCCCTGATTGATCATGTATATGATCATCAAATGTCTTTATATTTGGTACCTTGAGGTTCTGTCATGTTCTATACTAGAAGCAGGAAAACAGGTGTGAAAAGCATGGCTGTGTCTTCAAGGATTGCGAAGTGCAGAGAGTGACATAATTGTAACTCAGCATGGAATTGCTGTAAGGAAGGCTTGGACAATTATGCTGTGAGTAGAGGTGAAGGAGATCAGAAAATTCTCTAAGGAATTATAGAATGGTGTGTGGATCAGGCATTACTGCATCTGAAGCTTGAAGTTTGAGTAGCAGATTGATAAAAAGCATTCTTAGCAGGAAGAGCTGCCTATGTAGGAAGAAGGGATTGGAGGGAACCTAATATACCCAAGGAAGTGCTTTGGCACGGATGAAATGCAATTGGTGTGTGGGGTGTGGGTGGGGGCGATGAGGCTGCATGTGGAGGTGTAGCAGATGCTAATGGCACCCAATGCCACGCCCCTTTGACTCTCTCCTGCTGTAGATGTGGCTGTGTTGGGCAGTCCCTTCTGTTCCAAGCTCTAGCAGTATCTCCCAGCTTTCCAGCCTTAGGATTTTGCTTGAAGCCAGGGAACTGGCTCAGCATGGAAGTAGGGCTTAGGTGGAGCTTAATGTTCCTGAAGCAGCCATACCCTCACCCAATGGGGGAGAAGAGTTGATGGCAAAATTCCCACCTTCTGTCTTTCAGAAAGATGCTACATCTATGCCCAGCTCAGCAACGCACCCTTTATTGGCTTTCTTTTCTTTCCTGCCTCACTCTCTCTGTCCCCTCACTCCAAACTCCCAGCATTCATGTCTTTGTGTCAGGCTCTGCTTTCAAGAGAATCTAAATTAGGACAGTAGGTGTGGCATCAGGAGCTTTGTAGGTCATGCTGAATACCTAGGATTTATTCTGTAGGTGACAGGAAGCCCAGTGATTAGGGATTGGCATGATCACCTTTGTGTGTAGAAAACCATCCCAGGGCCACGTGGAGAACAGATTGGTGGGCAGGAGGGGTGGTCTTAAGTCCATAAGGAGGTGACAGCAAGAAAAGAGTGCCCACTCTAGGGCAGAGTCCACGAAGGTGCAGTGAGCAGGACTGAGTCATGAAATGCTCAGGAGGAGAATCAAGGGGAATTAGTTTAACCAACATTGTGAAAGTCAAGCATTTTTTGTTTCTTTGAGTATGCTTGTAAAAATGCTATGGCATTTTAAATGAAAATGATGAGATTCTACCTACTACCACAATGAAATAATTTTTGATAGTTTCTCTGGTATGGGCAAGCAGATAAAGTCCAATTTTCACCTATTTGTGAACTGTCATACACAGTGTCATAGGACAGTGGACTGTTATACACTTTAAGACTTTGCTGGCCTTTTGTAAAATGTGATTAGATTTAAAAAATTAGTGCTGCCGGAGTCTTATAGATATCATCTATTGCAAAAGCTGAATAGTGGCTAAGTGAACTTTCATAACCATGAATTTTTACAAATAATTACTCTGATTATTTTTGTGATTTCTAAAAAGGCAAAATGTGGTCTTATTTTCTAAATGGGTATTTTAGGATTCTCCAGAGAAACAGAACCAGGAACACACACACACGTGTGTGTGTGCGTACAAGTATATGGGTATATATGGGGGTTTATTATGAGTAATTGGCTCATGTGATTACGGAGGCCAAAAAAGTCCCACGATCTTCCATCTTCATGCTGGAGACCCAGGAAAGATGATGGTTTAATTCAGTCTGAGTCCTTGGCCCGAGAACCGGGAGAGCCAATGGCGTAGATTCCAATCCGAGGGCTGTAGGGGATGTGATGAAATGTTCCAGCTCAAACACACAGGCAGGGAAAAAAGGGGCGAATTCTTCTTTCCTCTGTCTTTTGTTCCACTGGGGCCTCAACGCACTGGATGACGCCCACCTACCTTGGGGAGGGCACCCTACTGAGTCCACAGATTCCAATGCTAGTCTTATCTGGAAACACCCGCACAGTCACATCCGGAAATAATGTTTAATCTGAGCGCGCTGTGGCCAAGTTAACTGTTGCAATGGGGTTTAATGTAACATCTTTTCTCATGTGTATATGTATGTGTTTGTTGATCTATCACACAGTAAGTACCATTTTAGCATTTATTTTTATGATTTTATAATGTAAATCTTATTCTTCCCTCTTCTGCTCATTAGCCATGGTTATGTGCAGAATCCCAGCCCATTTAAGAGTAGGTAACATTTAAAAGACTTGAATACATTTCGTGAGTTTGGCCATAAAAGAACTGGTCCTTGATTCATACAAAATTCATTTAGCTTATCTTTTTCAAGGTGAGCAAGAAAACATATCAGCAAGTCGAAGCTGATAATGGAGAGAATGAGGCCTCTTCTAGGTGATACTTCAGGCACAAGATTTAATCTAATATTCTGTAAACCAAAGATTTTTTGAGCTGTGAAATTTAGA